CAGTTCGTATTTTTGTGTCTAGCACCATAATATTTGATTTAAAAATAATCTTGATCTATTTCATTACAATTTATAGAACAAAAATCAAGAAAAAAAAAAAAAAAAAAAAGAAACACGGGGAATAAATTATGTATGATAAAAATTTTGACAGATTTATTAAAGATTTTAATTTTGAACCAACATTCAACCTGACATCAATCTATTATCGATAAATATGCATGTTAAGAAAATATAGTATCAAAAAAGATTTAAATAAGAGGCGAAAGGTACCAAGATGACATTAAAAAATCATAAGTCGAAGAAAAACTGACAAATTCATGACAAAAAACGACGAAAAGACAAACAAGTAAAAAAAAACTCTACATAGAAAATTAAAGATTGATCAACACAAACCTAACCAAAACCGGAGATAAACTCAGTTCCTCCGGAACGGTTAGCAGTTCTTGCTACGCATTGTTTTCATATTATACAAATATCAAATCATTACAAAAGTTTTAAAAAGACAAATCGTATGATTTCACGTTAATATTGGAAATCCTGGCATCATTTCGGAGTTCGAGAAAAGAAACTGTTAAAAGTAAAAATCCTATAAACATATAATATCAGTTCTAATAAATATTTGTTGGCTTTATGATATTTATTCTATCTGTTTTGGCGGGTTTTTGTATATTTTAAAATTGAGAATGGAAATGGGGAATGTGTCAAAGAGACACCAACCCGACCATAGAACAGACAACAGCAGAAGGTCACCAACAGGTCTTCAATGCAGCGAGAAATTCCCGCACCCGGAGGCGTCCTTCAGCTGGCCCCTAAACAAATATATATACTAGTTCAGTGATAATGAACGCCATACTAAACTCCAAATTGGACACAAGAAACTAAAATTAAACCCCCCCCCCACTATACCTCTAGCCAATGTAGAAAAGTAAACGCATAACAAAACGCACATTAAAATTCAGTTCAAAAGAAGTCCGAGTCTGATGTCAGAAGATGTAACCAAAGAAAATAAACAAAATGACAATAATACATAAATAACAACAGACTACTAGCAGTTAACTTACATGCCAGCTCCAGACTTCAATTAAACTGATTGAAAGATTATGTCTTCATCATATGAATATCAGGCACAATCCTTCCCGTTAGAGGTTTATATGTTTTGATAGTACTAATTATATACGGGTAAGCTCATATTGTTCAAACAAGAATTCTTCAACAAATCTGTTAGTTCGCTATGCTGCATAACTTTATTCCAAGTGTTTCGATATTTTCGTTATCAAATTTTTGAAAATCATGATCATGACGAACTACGACTCCAATTGTGCTGTCATTTTAAAAATGTAGTTTCTATTGCCAAAATGATTCCATTAATTTTATAAGTAAAATACAAAAAAAAATCTAGATAATTTCAACTTTTTTTTATTTAGATGCCATTTTTTATATAATAGAGGCTTATTTCCAAATTTTAAACATTCTATGAAGGTTTGACAAAGTAAGTGCTGCAAAATATACTTAGACTGTATGTAAATATTTATTTCCCACAATAATAAGTTCGTGATATAGATTACTTTAGCTTTATTTGCCAAAAACTTACGGAATTTTGTATGCTCTTCAACTTCGTACTTTATATGGCCTTTTAAACCTTATGATTCGAGCGTCACTTTTGAGTCATTTGTAGAAGAAAAGCATCCGCCGTACGCCATTTTAATCTGGTATATATATATATATATTATGGATTTTTTTATCTTTAGATCCAAAAAAATGAAGAAAAAAAATTTTAATCTTTAAATCAACAATTATTTATTTATAGTTACCGAAAGGGCTAAAGTTTCTGCAAGAAACAATAGGTTCCGTGGACTGTTCGCACGTCACTCAATGTCCTTTTGGAATCCGTTTTGTACAAAATACTATATGTGTTGTTTTAGCTGTTGGTACAATTGTTTAAAGTATGCCCACGAACTGAGTAATAAAGTTGTGTTGGGTGTTGAGGCTTTGAAGGTGAGGAGACTTTCGAAAACATGTGTATTATAATATCGAGCAAAAAAATCTCACGATGTTGTGAATATCCCTCATTAAGGAAAACGTACATCAGCCTACACAACAATCTGTCAATCCATAAAACACTAAGCCAGCACCTTTGTCAAATGAAACACCTGTCCATGCAACCATCTGGCACTTAACATATACCTGCTTCAGTCTTAATCCACTTGGAACCTCTTGATACGAGGTACAAAGAGGTTCCTTTTGTCTTTAGGTCTTATACTTTCTAACTACTTGTAATATTAATGATAAAAACAGACAGTAAAATTGGATATATGCTTTTCTTCAAAGTGTGATGTTTTGAGTCTAGATAGAGTATGATTTCAACTACTAAATAAACCACGTTTTGATAGACTTATAAATCAATCAGTACACATTCAATGGGTTTAATGTAAAACCATGGTACACTTTCAGAGATAATATGACTTGTGTATTGTTGACATTAAAGTATCAACACTTTGTAGAATCTTATGTTTTCCTAACTGTTTTACATATCCAGTTGCCTTTGAAGTTAATACCGATGAAGACAATATTCAACCAAGTTACAAATGTAATTTAATTTTTAACATTTCAACACACGTTGACTTAAAGAATCAATAAGTTCATATGAATTATATCTTAATTTTTGGGGTGAACAATTCATGCATAAGGCAGAGTAAACTTAAGAAATGCGTTATACACTAACATATAACATTTATTAATTTCTACTATTAAATGCTCAGAAATGTATATATGTTCAATGCAGCAATATATTCATTGATCTCAAGTACTCCTAACGCTATTTTCATATCTCCGGAATTTGACCTTCCTGATACAATTTGTCTCCTCTTTCGTCTTCATTACTAGTTTCCAAGTTATATAAATCATTCCAACCATTATAATCAATTGTTACAGTATCTACAGCATTAGGAAACAAGTCATAATTGCATTTCTAAAGGGATAAGTTCCATAATGTCGTGTATATCTAATAGCAATCGGACATTAATATTTTGATATGAAGCAATAGATATAAACAGGATCTTAAGGACCAAACAGTTAATTTTTACATGTGTTGATCAGGTAATTCCGAAAAAAGAAATGGTTTTCTTTTTTAACAGTGACACAAAAAATTCATATTTAAGGGAATAGCAAAAAAACAAAAAAAACAGTGGTAGACAGGTTAGGGGAGGTATAATTGCGAAGGAGACAACTATCCACCGGAGTCTAAATGAAGAGGATGTTATCATCTATACGTTATTGTATGGCCTTCAACTATGAGTAAACCCCGAACCATAAATTTGGTGGTTTGCAATTGAAAAAAATCTAATTTCTATGTTTTACCCTATATAGTTCTTTTAATCGACAAAATCTAATTTTGATTTCTTAAGGTATCGTACGATTTCCAACCATTTTGTGTTCGACAAGAATGTCATTTTCTAGTTTGTTATTCGTATATTTACTCTTTCTGTTCCACGCATATTATGTTATTGATTTAAAGGTTCAAACAAGGACAGTGCTGTCCAGTTTTTAATATGTAATGCCAACATAAGAGTCAGTGTAAACTTTGATAATCTGATCATTAAGTAAATCACACATTTAGAAGCTGAAAACTTCTTTTGCTACATGTACAATTAATCTATCTCGGCTTTCTTCGATCAACATAAACTAAAAATTGAAGTCATTGGAAGGATCCGAGTGGTCCTGTTCTCTCAATATGTCATAATTTTCTTTATATTTCCCAAAACGTGAAATTGTCTGAACTACATTTCTGCAGATTTCTTAGAGCATATACAAACAGAAGTGATATTTGACTCCCTTCTTCATGTTCTTGCTTCAAACATAAATGACATAATGATTAGTACAATGTTGATTGTAATAAAATGTGACTTGACCGTTGTTCAATGGTTGTCGTTTGTTGGTATGGTTCATAATTGTTTTTCGTTCCTTGATATGGTTCATAATTGTTTTTCGTTTCTTTTTTTTTATATAGATAAGACCGTTGGTTTTTACTTTTGAATTGTTTTACCCTATATAGCTAGTCAATTTGGGGCCCGTATAGGTTGCTGGTCGGTGTGAGCCAAGACTCCGTGTTGAAAGTCGTACTTTGACATATAATCGAAACTTTTTATACATTGTGACTTAGATGGAGAGTTGTCTCATTGGCACTCATACCACATCTTCTTATCTATATTGACAGTAATTTTTTTAGTAGATTGCCATCAGTCAGCAAACAATTGCATCAGGACTTAGTTACGTCAGAGTAGGATCGTTCAAAAATTAAATTTGAAGTATTTTTTTTTTTTTTGGAATAATGAGCTTTTGTTGTTGTTTCATCTTTTACGTTTACTGTAGTTGCCATTTTTGTTCAATACTTTGCTCATTGTTGAAGCCCGTACGGTGACCTATAGTTGTTTATTTCTGTGGTCTCAGTTGTCTCATTTGCAATCATACCACATCTTCTTATTTTTTATAGCTTGCTTTGTTAGATTCCAAATATATCAAAGCTACTATTTGAATTTTCGTTAGCCTTAAATAATTACGTCATTATACCCTTAAGATCAACGGTCTGTATTTAGTTCCGTAAAATGTTTTTAATTGTGTTTGTTAGAGGAAAGGAGTCAACCTGACATTCAATCATAGCAGATTTGTCAATTGTGTTGTTCATTAGAATACTGTTTCGATTTCGTCAAAACTTTTCTTGAAACAATGGGCGTTTGTTGTTGTTTTGTCTTTTACAGTTACTGTAGTTATCTGTGTTTGTTCAATATTGTTACAATGATGAACCCTATTCCTCGATCTAAAGCAGGGGTATACATTAAACACATGTTTTCTAAAGACCTTGTTTCGACTTAAATAAACAAATGGTGTGAAAATTCCCGCTACTTTAGTTATCATGGACGGTATTGCCATTGCAATTGGGTCGATTTCAGCATCCTTATTCAATACTTTCCACAGAAGTAGGACTATAAATGGTGTGTAACATATCAAGAAGAATCCTATAATTAAAAAAAACATATATTTGAATACATACAAATTCTTCCAATTTGTTTTTGAATAATCTAAAAACTAGAAAATTACTTTCATGATAGAATTATCTTTCAAAGATGTGAACACGTCCGATTATTCTTTCTTTTAGAAAAAAACATTTCGGATTCCTCTGGTTTCGTCGGATTTAAACACACCTTCAAAAACTTGAAGGCTGAAATTTCATTGGCTGATGGAATAAATACCGGAACAGAAAGTAAATCAGAATGATGTTCAGTGCTTGTAAGCAAACAAAAACCTTGATTACAGGATCTGTAGTTTAATCAGATTTGTACATATTTGTTATTTATTTGGGTTATTGAACAATGTGTGGTGTTTTCGTTATCATTGTTAACATATACATAACATCCCCTTGTTTTATTGATACGAATAAAATGAAAATGAAAATGAATCAACAAAATGAAAAAAAAACACTATCAATTTTATGCGTTCGAAGCGCTTTTCTGGATTTGCCTTCATCAAGATCGTTCAACTCAAAATATTTGAAAGCCAGACGGGAAAATACCATGAATATATACAAATCGAATCACACAAATGAATAGTTATTCGACAAACGGACCTAACAACTAACCTATGAGTATAGTCGTTGTCACTGCAAGTTCTTGCTCCATAGTAAGTTTCTTTCGACATTGCTTTCCTTTGTCAAAGGATTTTTTCGTCAGACTCGATCTCAAGTGCGCCTTGGAATCTTTCATCACCTTTAAATATATCAATAAAAGGATATTACGGAGAACATTTAATAAGAACGATTACAAAAATTAGCCTTGTGATATTCCTTTATTTTTACAAAAATCCGATTAACGAAACGTATGAACTTTTTTTTCTCGAGATCAATCTTTATTTACGTCGAGAACAAATTTATAATCAAGGAGAAAGTGAAAGCCTGAACGTATACAGCTATATTTATAAAAACAATCAATAAATAAAATGTTTTTACTAGTTTGTATATTGTTTGTTTGCTGATTATCTGAGTTTCTCAAAGTGTAACCTCAGGCGTGTCGAACAAAAGTTTAGGAATGGGCATGGTCACGCATATCAAGAAGGGTTAATGTTTTTACAAGAATACTTTGTAGAATATACCAACCTTTGCATACACATTTCCGTATGAAAATATTATCACAGAAACTGGCATTACAAAGTAGATAGCAAAGAGAGCCAAGATGAATGACTGTCCGTTATTATTATCTCCAATTAGATCTATTGCGCATGCGGTACCAATTCCTTCATACGTGTACTGGTTCCATCCAAACAAAGGACTTATTGCAAAACCAAATGTAATGAGACAGCACAGAATTATAGACACGATGCTTGTTTTGTTTGACAGGTATTTAGCTAAATTTGTTTTAACAACATATATGTACCGGTCGACGGAAATCATGGTCAAAAGAAGCATTGTTGCAAGACTGCAAAACGACATCAAAAAACCGTTATATCTACAGCCAGATTCACCAAACAGCCATACGTTGTTAAAGCAGGACATTATTACCATTGGTGTCCCAAACGTTGTCATTATCAAGTTCAAACAACAAATTGCGGCAATATACAGACTTGATCTAGTAATACGCGTCCGTTCTTTGACCAGGAATACAAAAACGACAGAACCGTTTGAAACGAAAGATCCAAGCCCTGATGTAAGAAGTATCAGACCAAAGGTAAAATGAAACCAAGGTGGCGTTTGCGCAGCTATGAGTTCATGATGATTGTTTGTAGTATTTCCTGTTACATTGCATAACATAATTCCCCTTTTAGTTGCGTACGTCTTTATTCTGAAAGAATCAAATGAAATCCTTCTTAACAGTATTAATAAAACTATGACTGTCACATTGAAACGTTTTATCAAAGATGTCTTTTCGTTCGACCCAGCAGATGTATATGTTTAAAGTCTGTCTTTTAAAACAAAAGATATTAGATATATAAATTGTATTTGTGGTAGCTGGAGTTGTATTCAATCTTTTTCTTATTTTTATACATAAAGGCAACAGTAGTATACCGCTGTTCGAAATTCATAAATCGATTGAGAAAAAAACAAATCCGGGTTACAAACTTAAACTGAGGGAAACACATCAAAAATAAGAGGAGACCTACAACACAACAGAAACACAATATTAAAATGTAACACACACAGAAACGAACTATAATATAACAATGGCCATTTTCCTGACTTGGTACAGGACATTTTAAGAAATAAATGGTAAGTTGAGCCTAGTTTTATGGCTAGGCAAACCTCCCGCTTTTATGACAATGTTAAATATAACATTAAAATGACAACATTACATGACAGGACTTTGCCAGAGTTGTTCATTAATAATCGTTAAAATTGCCTTATTGTTCTGTGTAGTAAATATTTATTTTACCATCAAATTAATACAAGTAGAGGAACGTATTATAATCAAAACTACCATTTGATTGTCAATAATAAAAACTCTGAATGATACCAGGCTTCTAAAAAGTAAAATAATAAAAAAACCGAACTCCGCTGAAAATTCAAAACGGAAAGTCCCTTATCCAATGACAAAATCAAAAGGTCATATTCCTGACTTGATACAAGTATTTCCTTATGTAGAAAATGGTGGATCGAACTTAGTTTTATAGCTAGCTAAACCTCTCACTTGTAATTCCATTATATTGATAAAAATGTGTGAACAAAACAAACCGACATAATAGGGAAAAAATGTCTAATATTTACACGTCAGACGCGTATTATGTCTACAAAAGACTCGTCAGTTACGCTAGAATAGAAATTTGAAAACATAGTTATAAACACAAGACAAACGTATTTATGTAAATAAACCTTTTTGTTGTATATAACTGTGAAAGGAACAGCTCGTCTTCTTGAGACGATTAATTCTTCCATTGCACTAGCCTTTTATACCTAAATATTTTGAAATTGAGACTAAATGACAACGTTACCTTTCAATTACCTGATAAAAAATCTAAATAATAACTGTTGAGCAAAAGTTCATATGCTATAATCATACAGATGCATAGCCAAATGGAAAACGTTTTTGAGATAATTGCAAAAACACAAATGCTACAGTAATGTTTTATGTAATTTGTTTTTTTAGACATGTATTTCTCCTCAGACAAATATATCAGTTACATGTTATATGTATATGTCTTCTTTTTTTTGCCTAATTGTGTAACTTTAACACGCGATTGAGTGTCTTAATAATACTTGTTATATATTATATATGAATTCAACCCACTCCTTTTAATATCGATACAGAAAAGAAGCAATGATATTAGATAGTTAAAAATAATGCTAACATTTAATCATAACGAGTTCACCTTACCTGCTAGTATGATAGTAAGACATCGTACACATTAATATCAGTTACTGTACTTCTTGAATTTATATGCCAATGTCAAGAGTATAGGAAGACACCGGTTTGTGCAATGCCCATAATTTCGTTCACAAAAGAAACAATATGTATTGCTTCAAACTATAAATTAAGTAATTAGCGTATATTTAAAAAAAAACAATATTGTTTTGAGGTTGCCGTTTGATTGATGTACACACAGCATATCTTTTAATTTGTATAAACGATATTCATGTCTTTATTAGAGTTAGAATAGACGTTATTCATTTGTAATAGTTAACATTATATTCTGACATGGTACATAGTACACTCTATATGTTTTGATGTTTTACATAGCTTATCCGCTGTAAACAACAATGTAAAAATGATAAAAATAAAATAAAATATAAAAAATAAATGAATACAGCAATCCACAAAATAAAAAAAGAAAGAAACCCCTCCCGTTTCCATCAACCATCCCTTAAACAAAAGTAATATCATACCTATGTATATGCGATGATTTTACTTCCACCTTATATCCCATTGAATTGACGTTAAAGTAAATTAGTTGACTTTATTTAGATGATTGCATTTCTAATTCATTGTTATTAATGTTATCTGTCTGATATTCATGTATTATTTGTAGCTAATCGTATTCTCTATAAGAAGAATTATGCATCATGTAAATACGTGGACATACGCTATGTCGTTGACTTCGCGTTCATTAATTTGCAGGTAACTTTTATATTATAATGTATTTAGTATTATTTAATATAACGTCTAATAACCTATGACTGACAATGAATAGAATAAAAAGTTCTGTGTTTTATTCATTTTTGTTTACAATAATCTCAAATATGGTTGCAAGATAATTCAATAGGCAACAAATTACCCGTGCATTTACCCGTGTTTGGTTTATTAACATTAACATGGGGATGGATTTAAGGAAATTTACTTCATATTTTGTTCTTATATTCTTTAATCTTATGTGTGTTGTACTAGTTAGGACCCATATTTTGGTTTGAAATGTGTTTAGTCTAAATACAATTGTTTGCAATGCAAATATCAATGTTTTATTATTAATGATAAAAAAAAAAACTATACATCATTTGTAAAATATTTCTGCAATATCACTGCCATGATGTCAAACAGCAGGTAGCGTAATATGTTGTCAAGATGAAGCCAGTGTCGTTGCAGTAAAGCGATATGAGTGTCATAGTTCATTTTCTACTTTATTTCAGTTAAAGACAATGTAATAAAAAGAGTACCAATTGCACAAATTCAAATAACGACAACTATTCAACTCATTAGAGAATAAAAATTATAGTTCAAAACTGCTTTATGCGGATTGTGTAAACTACTGTATTGTTTAGTCATTTAATATTCACTCATTCATATTTTAGACACTATAATTTTGGATTTTGTTTTAATAGTCTTTGTCCATTCAATGATGCTCAAAATTCTTCATGTGATGTAGATGGTTTTCCAACATTTCATACTTAACAAAAACTACTTTACTTACATATTTATCATGGTTTGGTAAATACTGAAACTTTAGGTCCTAAGGATAGAATGATATACTTTTTTATATATTTTTAGAAAATATGAGAAACACTGCATTACTTTGTTTTATAGGAAGCACATGTAATACAAATACTTTCTTTCACATCATTAATATATAACATGGGTGAGAAGTAACTCTAAATTGAAAGTCCGTTAGTTTTTCCTTTTAAATTGTTTAACAATTATGTCATGACGGTGCATTTCGTAGATGGCTATACGACAAGGACGTTTCTTAATGTTGCAGGTTGTACGGAAAAATGACAAATCAATATTACCGAACTCCAAGGCAAATTCAAAAAGGGGAAATTTATTTAAACTGACAAAATTAAACGCTATCAATCAAAGAAACAAGTGAAAAAAACAACTGCCATATTCCTGACTAAGTACAGACATTTTCCGAAGAAAATGGTGGGTAAGACCTGGGTTTAAAGCTAGCTAAACCTCCCAATTGTAACCTACAGCTGCTTACAGGCATGTCATCTGCACCTTGTTGATAGTTGTCACATTGGCAATTCATATGGATACTTATTTATTAATATTTAACAAAACCTTCCGAAATGGCCCCATAATACTTCAAATCTGTTTGATTTTAACTGCAATATTTTATCAATTATGGTTTATTTTATTATGTATGACTTGTTATCATTTATTGTTATCATATTTTTCTATCTTGTATACTGTATCACCTTAAAGCATTGTGTGTTAAATATTTATGTTTCGTTCTTTGTACCCTTGTCATTTGAACTTAGATAATACAAATTTCAATTTATTCAATATCTCATAAACCGACAAGACTAATATATATAGAGTAATAGCATTTTGTTTTTTATATTGACTTTATCAGCAAGAATATCAAGCGAGCCCGCAAGGGCGAGCTGATATTTGAGATCACGAAGTCAGTATCAAAAAATAAAATGCCATTATTCTTTTTATCGGCAATTTGTCTTGTAACTGAATGTTTTTTTTTTGTTGTTGTTAAACATATGAAGAAAAATGAAATAATAAGTAAAACTACTTTTATGCGAACAAAACGTTTGGATCGTTATTTGTTTGTATTAATGAAGTCGCGTGCATTTCATTGATAAATTGAAGCGTATGGACATGAACATTTGACGTTACTGCACTGATACATGACGTCATTGCCTAATATTTTTGCGTATCAAGTCCTGTCCATGATCTTAAAAATAGTAGGCAGTAAGATCGAAGGGAAAAAGTACAAATTGCCGATAAGAACCGATTACCCAGCATTATTTTAAGTTGGAAATATATCGAATCGACTTAACCGGTCAATGCATGTCATTGTACGTTTACTGACTCAATTACGAGTTGGTTGACCGTTGTGAAATATCGGTTTAACAGATGACGACGGATATGTCGCAATCGTCGTTTTAACAACCCCGTACTCCTTTTTTGCGAATGTGACATACCGAATTAGATTTTTTGGGTCTGTACTCACATGATTATTACGACAGGTGTCACCTGTGGAGCACGTTCTGCATTTTCTACCGGAGCACCTGAGATCACCCCGGGTTTTGTTAGTTTTCTATGTTGTGTTTTGTGTACTGCTGTTTGTCTTTTGATCTATTTTTAGGCATTGGGTTACCAGTTTATTTTCAACTTTGAGTTTGAATATCCCTTTGGTATCATTCGCCTCCTTTAAATGCAAAGTCGGTCCTTCTTTGACTTCAAAATTTCTATAGTCCGTTTTTATAGTCCGTTTGGTGTATTTTGCCTCTCTTTTATCGATCTGAATTGATCAGACTGCAACGATCTACTTGTTTGTATCCGGATTTTTTTTATTTCATGTTGTGACATTTTGACCGAGTCTTGATTCGCATAGTCGGTAATGCATGTGTTCCTGCCGAGCTTACTC